CTCACCTCAGATAACCACACACATCCACCGACACACCGTGAGTGAGACTCCCAGCAGGCAAGAGAAGACATGTACGGTGTTAATCCAGAGTTACGTGTGTGCTCCTTGGCCAGGAGTACATCCCTGGCTGCTGCGCTCTGCACAGGAATCAGCGAGGGCGGCCTCCCTGTGCCATTTGGGAGCACGTTTGGAGAAGAAGGTGACTGGGAGCAGTCAGTGTGGATTGACCAAGGGCCAACCATGCCTGGCCAACCCAATTTCCTTTGGCAATAAACTGGCTCTGCAGAGGAGGGGAGGGCAGGGAACATCATTTAGCTTGAATTTAGCAAGGACGTCAAACAGCATCTGAGGCAGCTGAAGAGGCCACATCACCCAGCAGGCTCATGGGGACAGGGCAGGGCTGAGGTCAGGCAGGGACATCAATCTGCAGATCAGGATCAGGCCTTGTGAGGGGAACTGGGGTCAAACACAGCTCTGGGATGGCTGCAGGGCCCTGGGGACATCACAGAATCAGAGTTGCTTGGGTAGTAAAAGACCTTTAAGATCATGAAGTCCAACCATTAACCTAGCACTGCCAAGTCCAGCACTGAACCACATCCCTAAGGGCCATGTCTACACATCTTTTAGAACCTCCAGGAATGGTGACTCCACCACTTCCCTCCACAGCCTGTTCCAGTGCTTGAAAACCCTTCCAGTGAAAAAAAAAATTCCTAATACCCAATCTAAACCTCCCCTGGTGGAACTTGATGCCATTTCCTCTCATTCTATCATTTGTTATTTGGGAGAAGAGACCAACACCCACCTCACTTTTCAGGTAGCTGTAGAGAGCTATAAGGTCCCCCCTCAACCTCCTTTTCTCCAGGCTGAACAAATCCAGTTCCCTCGGCTGCTCCTCATAGGACTTGTGCTCTAGACCCTTCACCAGGTTCGTTGCCTGTCTTTGGACCTGCTCCAGCACCTCAAAGTCTTATCAAATCATAGAATGGTTTGGGTTGGAAGGGACCTTAAAGCTCACTCAGTCCAACCCCTGCCATGGGCAGGGACACCTCCCACCAGCCCAGGTTGGCCAAAGCCCCATCCAACCTGACCTTGAACCCTGCCAGGGAGGGGGCATCCACAGCTTCCCTGGGCAACCTGGGCCAGGGCCTCACTACCCTCACAGTAAAGAATTTCTTCCTAATATCCAGTCTAAATCTCCCCTCTTCCAGTTTAAAACCCTTGCCTCTCGTTCTATTGCTACCTGCCCTTGTAAAAGATCCGTCCTTAGCTTTCTTGTAGGCCCCCTTCAGGTACTGGAAGGCCACTATAATGTCTCTCCAGAGCCTTCACTTCTCCAGGCTGAACAGCCCCAACTCTCTCAGCCTGTCTTTGAGGCAGAGGCACAGGTTGCCTATAGAGGTGGTCCAGTTTCATATCCTCAGATATTTTCAGGCCCCAACTGGATGAAGCCTTGAGCAGCCTGGTCTGACCTCAGAGCCAACCTGCTGTGAGCAGGAGATTGGAGGTCTCCTGAGGTCTCTCCCAGTGATGAAACCATGAAAATTATGTCCCTTCTTTGAAATGTCATTGAGATGTTAGAAAGATCAAAGGTCATCTGGGAACACAAGTGACCTGCTAGGTGGACAGAGATCTAGACAGAAACACCAGCTTCGCTCATAAGCCACATTTCCTTCTGAAACCAGGCTGAGGACTGTCATTGAAGTCAGGTACAACACATACTGGCTGTAGTAATTAAGGCTGAAAAACAGTGGTGAGTCTCACACATGTTCATGCTGCACGTGGCAGCCAGGCTCCACTCAGGCCTAATCCCAGCTGAAATAATTTTCACTTGGAGCTCACCTTGTAAAACTGCTCATCAAGTGCTACCCTGGGCCCCTACACGGAGTATCGGCTCCTCAAGGCAAGTTGTAGGCATACGGCTCGCTAAGGGGTTAACAGGTCTACTCTAAGGATAGGACAGCTGCTGATGGAAAACTGTTTGTGTACCAGAGACTCACCAACAGGCAGGAAAGGAGAAGGCAGCACAGTACGGGCATTGCACAGCCTTCCTCTGCGCAGGGCGGGCCTGAGCCACGCGTGACCACTGCCCACAGCTGCGAGATGGACCCAGGCTGGGAACCCCGTTTTACACCCATGGCATCGTTTGCCATTAGCACCCTGGCAGCGGTGTTAAGATGCTGGATTTTTCTTTTTTTTTTTTTAAATAAATTGTCAGTAAGTGAAATTCACAGTAAGTGAAAAATAAACATGGTACCAGTTTTTTTTTTTCCACTTGAATGCAGAATTTAGTTCAAAAAATAATTTCAAATATGAAAATCCTGTAAGTCATGAGCAGGTTAGAGATAAGGAAGGAAGTTCTTTATTGAGAGGGTTGTTAGAGGCTGGAACAGGCTGCCCAGGGAGGTGGTGGAGTCACCATCCCTGGATGTATTTAAAGAGTGGGTAGACGAGGTACTTAAGGATATGGTTTAGGGGGTACATAGGAGTGGTTGGACGTGATGATCTCAGAGGTCTTTTCCAACCGAGCGATTCTGTGATTCTGCGATTTCCAGAATATGCTTTCACCAAAGCAGAAGCTTGGACATGCGAAGCCATCTCTCTGCTAAGCTGAATGGGGCCCACTGCTATTCAAAGGGTATTTCTCCCTGTTTTCACCAAATTTGCTGTTTTACAGAATACCATCATTCACTGTAAGTATTAGTTTACAGATCCACAACAAATTTATGACCAAAAGCAGTTTTTATTTGCTTATGTTAAACCAAGCCACCTGATTTTCTGTACATACATAGCATAGCAAACGGAAAGCTTTTTTATGCCAACAAGGTGAGAACTTAATCCAACTTCTGTTGAACAGGTAGAAAGTATTTACAAATAAAAATGTTCTAAAACATCCACTTCTAGTCAAGCAAAACTGTATAACCATTTACTTCCCTTGTAAACATTTATTTTTGTATTCTTTACCTTATGTAGGCTGGTATTCCTGATTTTTGGATTAACATATTTTGCAGAAACGTAAAGCAGCAGCAATTCCTCACTGATACTCAGCTGGTTGGATTGTCTTACTCTACAGAACCCTGTCCAGACAGAATAGAGCTTTTTACAGAAAAGCATAATTTCTCCTTAGAATACCAGACTTTACTGCGTATGTCAGCATAAGCGTGTATCCTTCCAAAACAGGCATGTCGTAGAGACCAATTTTGTCTCTAAATATTTTATATTAGTCCTTCTATGTACAACAAAAGACAAATTATCCCAGTATAGAGTAGTAATACTTCTATATCGGTACAGATTTGAAGTACAGACCCACTTCTTTAACGAAGTTTACACTTTATATAAAAAATAAGGATACCAGTTGCCTACAATAACTTTCAGTTTCTTGTGGAGTAGTCAGTGATACAAGCATTGCTTGTTGTGTGTAAAATATATTATTTTAAAATACCAGTATACTGTCCTTCCAGTTACAAAAATATAATTATGTCCTACAGAAATTTTACTGAATTAAAAAGTGTATCAAAAATATGGATCAGCACTTTAGACGATATGTGACATTAGAGATGAAGTAAATGTATAATTATTTAAAAATACTATATTTTGACTCAGTGAGCCACTTTTTGTTTTGCATAAAAAGAGATCAAAGCTTAGTTAGAAATTTAATGGCCAGGGATGAGTTTTGGCTCCCGAGTAATAATACTACATTATTAGCATGGCTGAAAAAGAGCGGCAGGAAAACCTTTACAGGCATTCAGTTTGAAGGATAAAAAGTTCTGTGGTGACAGCGGGAATGGTTGAAAAGTACCAAAAAGGGACGGTAATTTAGCAAAAGGCAAAGAGCATTTCTTACTGGTTTTTATTTACTTTGTACGTAAAACACTGGCAGCCTGCACAGTGCAGTTGCGACCTCTTGGGCTGTTTCGGGTGGTGCTGCTCCGAAGGAGCCCAGCGGCTGCAGGTGCCTCCCCCCGGGACTGGCCCAGCACAGAGGCAGTGGGGAACTTTGGGACCAAACAAGTTGTATGGGGCATGGTTGGACAACTTAGGATTCAACCTATGAGGTTTATACATCAAAGAAAATAGGCTCAATATTTCTACATTTTGCATGGTTTAAAGTGTCGGATGATTAATCCAAATTAACCTGTTCCTAAATCAAAGGCTAGTGACTGTTCATCTCAACTGCAAATGAAGCTGTGCCGGTTATGAATCTCCCATGTCTGAAAAGCAGATTTCCAAGCTCAGCTCTGTTTCTTGACATCCTCAGGAATTCTGGCGTGTTTTCCAGTGCTATGCCCTTTGCCGAGCTATTTCCCATGCGCCAGCAGCACTTCAGTAACTCACATTGCAACTCGCGTCGCTCACTGCTCTTGCAGTGCTGAGGATGAAAATCCTGGTGTGGAATCTGCCTCAGCTGCACAGCAGAACAAGCGCCACAGGGGACATTGCTGCGATGCGTCCCAGGAATGCAGAAAAAGAACACCCATACAGAATATGCTGCAAAAATTGAGCTTTGTGGGGGTGTTTGTTGGGTGGGATGGATTGGCATTATTATGCTTGATTTGGTAAATGAGGAAAGTTGGAGAAACAGTAATTTAAAAGCCAAGTGACCTCTTGGTTTTCTGTTAAGTTTTATAAGAAAATGTAGCTCAAGCTGAAATTTATCCATTCCCGCACTGCGTCGCTGGCAGGAGCCTAAGCCACTGCTTGCTGACTCAGAGGAAAGCCATCTCTAGCATTACACTGCCCAAAGCTCCACAGCTGTTTACCTTCTATTATTTTGGAAAGGGATTTTTTTTACTTTTCTTTTTTCCTTGCTAGGGAATACAATGGTGACACCAAATATTTAATACAAAAGTCAAATGCTCAGCTAACATAACATACCAAGTTCTTTAAAACTAATGAAGTTGCACCAATTTATAGCAGCACAAGAACTGGCTCAAAGTATTCTACATATTTTTGCATGCCCAGAAACTACCAGGCTATGGTGCCATCTTAGTACCACAGACCCTTCATAGCTCTGACTCCTTATCTATCTCATCTAGGTAGTATTCGTCATCGGTAGTGGTATCACTGTCCGAGTCTGAGTAAGCTGCTGTGTCTTCCTGACAGATATCAATTGGCTCTCGGGGGGATGAAGCAGCTGATGACATTTTGCTCCCAGCAGAACTTGAGCTCAAAAGCTCAGCCCTGTTTATAGAAGGGGTCTCTCCATCTCTGAACACACCAGGGTTATTAAGAAGACAAGGTTTCCATAATCGCCCTTCTGTGAGCGACCTCTTGATGTTTTCCAGGAAAGCCAACTGTTGTTCCTTGCCAAATATACCAAACTCAATAGAAGGATACATCAGATTTCTAGGGCTGTAACATTTTTCATCATCTGATGCCCAGTTTTCATTTTCATCACAAGACAACAGCTCTGAGTAAGATTTAAATCTCTTTCCATGTATGCCGTATTTTGGTAGAATATTGCTTCCCGAGGCAAAGGTCTCACGGGAATCTCGAGCACAAATACTCTCAGAAAGGTGACGCTCACGCTGACTTTTGGCAAGACTCTTGCGCAACTGATAGCTACCCAAGTTGGCATTTTTTGAGCTAGGAGACTGAGAGGTATTTTGACACTGACCAAGCACTGTCTGGGAAGTCAAGTGTTGCTCTGGACATACGTCTGTGTCCACACAGCTATTTACATACGTGTTTGAGTTCTTGTCAGTTAAAAGTGGCAAGGGAGGACTGCAGACACGACTGCTAGCTCTCCTTTTCTCACCATCCCGTGGGTCTGATGTAGTAGCACTGGGAGAGATGGGCTGGCTTTTGTTTTCTAGCCTGAGATCTAGTGTCTGGGAATTCTTATTTCTTGTGGGTACTGCCTTATCTGGAAATAGGGTTGTAGGACTTGGCCTGTTTTCCACTTTCACCGTAGTTTTTCTCGGACTGATGGCTTCCTTCTGGGTGTACGAGCTTGTTGAAGACCTCCAGTTGGTGTTACTAACAAGCAAAGAAGGCTCATTCTGATTTTCAATCTTCTTCTTCTCAGCTGTTCTTGGTCTTGGTGTGTTCTTATCAGAGTCCAGACTGTGATTCTGATTTTCACTGTCTGACTGCAGGAATGGCCGATGGGAATCCACTGGCATCAATGAGTCAAGGGATGTGTCGACCTCTAAAGAAGTGGCACTTCCATTGTTCTGTGAAAAAATGTTACTTATGTGCGGTTTGGGGGGTAAATTTTTACTTGAAAATTTTCGACTTGTTTTGCAGACAGCTGCCAGTTTATTTTTAATTGAAGGCCTGTTTTTCCTTTTTTCTATATCTTTGACTTTGTCTCTTGGGCAGTCAGAGAGAAGCTTGTTCTCATGTTCTGCACTCTGTGTTATCTTTGGATCCTGTGTAGCCCTGAGGACCTTATCTTTACAGTTAACGTTCAGGCTGCCTTCACTGTGCCTCTCTGATTCCTGCAAACCACTGTAATCTTTACCCATCTGAGTACTCTGTGAGTTTTGCCCTTTCTTAATTTTTGAATTCTGTAATGGATCTATATCTGTGCTAACCACTTTGTCTACCTGGAGTAATGGATCAGCACTGGAAGCTGTGCTTACCTCAGATGCTTTGTTCTGAGACTCTGAAAGCACTTTGCTGCAAGAGTTTAAGTAATTTGCATTTTTTCTTGAGCTGTCAGCCCCTAATTGCAGTCCACTACATTTATTATTATAGAGAGGGGTGGTTTGGTATAGGAAATTTACTCTCTGCTTGACTTCAGTACTATCCCTGTGCGTGTCTTCTGCAGGAGGAAGCAGCACATCAGCACACTCCCTGTCACTGGTCCTTCCCAGGGAACTCTTTTCCCCTGGGTGGAAGACTGAACTGTTTGGGTTTTTATTGGTGAGCACTTTAGGGGGCTGACAGCAGCTTTCAGAGTTTCCCTTCTCTATAATACCTTTATTTGCTGAAGTAGAATACAGAGGATTCTCTAAATGTCTGCCTGGCTTGGGAGGGGTTGGTAAAGTGGACATTAGAGGTGTGGCTGTTTGTAACATTTCCTTCTTTTCTTTTAGACATATTTCTGTATTTTGGATGCTTGAAGCATCAGAAATGGCTTTACCTGGCTTAGCCACTACTGCAGTGGATTGTGGACCACTAGAAGAAATTTCTTTTGTCATCATGTCAGAAAACACATTTTCTGCTAATGCAAGATCTGCTGAACTATCTTTCCTGTTAGGTACCATACTCACTGACTGTGAAGCACACATCTTCTCAGAGCTAGGAGGTAAGTGGGAATGCTCTTCTTCACTATCAACAGCAGCTCCTAAGTTTTGAGGTGTGACCACAGCTGAAGATCCTTGGTCAGAAGAGTATGAAGGCATCTCTTTTTCCAAGGTACTGGGGAAAAAAACATTCGCTAAACTCACATGACCTTCATTTTTCTTATTTGGTATTCTTGGTGACTCAGCCTTTTCTCTGGAAGAAGGTAAATCTGCATCCTCTGGATTATCTCTAAAGATGTTACAAAATGTTCTTGAATGCCTCCGTGGTAATGTGTAATAGATTGAAACTAGTTCATGGTACTTGACATGATCTTCATCAAAACAAACTGTAAAGGTACTTGTAGTTTTGTATTTCTGCAAAAAGTTTCCCCTCTCCTTACAATCTGAAAACACAGAGGATTCTCTTCTGCTTAGATGTTTACATCTGTCTGTCAGTTCAACTGAGGTACTACTGCTTACTGCATCGTTAGGTCTTTCAGTTAAAGAACTTGAGTGATCTTTTTCTTTCATACTTGTAGCAGCATTTAATGATGCTGATGTTAAAAAGGAATGTTTTGAGTCTGAACAAGACACATCTCTTTGATTAGAACAAAAGGCGTCAGCTCTATGTGGAGTTTCAGACCTTATGTCTGAATGTGGTGTTCTGCCTTCTCTAGGTAAAGAGATGGGCGTATCTGACGTAACACTACCAGCAATGCTAGCTGATTTTCTAGGCAAAGTGTAATAAATAAGAAGCGGGTCAGGAGATTTGAGGCTGTTTCTGCTTGGGGAGCCAGTAATGCTGCAGCTACTGGTATGTCTCAGCAAGCCGTCTTGCTTGTGACGCCTTTCAATACAAGGCAAATTACTCCTTATTTTTCTGCTTTCTTTTTCGAGGCAGAAATAACTTAAACTATGTTCAGAGGTCCTGGGGTCTCCATCAAAACTATGCATATAAATATTTCTAGAATTTCCAGTTTGTGGAGGACTAGTAGTGAATTGTCCATTACAGTCCTTAGAAACTAAAGTGCTTGTATTTTGCAGTGTTTTCTGTGCAATCTCTTTGGTAACACCTGTTCTGCTCACTTGAGCTGTTCTTCCACCTTCTGCTTGAGATTCAGGAACTGTGCAATTTACTGAAGAGCTAGTTACTGTTCCTGAACGTTTAGAATTGTCTTTATGAGAAAGTGCTTGTGGAGAGCCTGGTGAGGAGCTAGATGAACGTTCAGGAGGACAGGACAACATGCCTCGAAAGTTTGCAAAGTTTTCAGTGGACTGAGCAGAAGCAACGTTCAGCAGTGAGGACTGTCTCTGTGGAGGAGCTTGGTTAATGGCTTCCGCACTCCGATTATCCCGTTTGATGCTCTCTCTTTTTGCTGCATAATGCAGATTATGTTCCCATGCTTTCTGAGTCGGAAGAAAAGGTCCCTTCCTGCTCTCATCAGCTGGGAAAATACAGGGAGGCTGACTGAACACACTGTTGGGTGGGCAATTGTTTTCCTTCATTTGTACATTTCTTTTATCCCCGTTTGATGTATACATTTTTGCAATATCTCCTCTGGCAGTGACTTGGGTTTGTCTCTTTGATCTCATTGTGTTAAAGAGAGATGCACTGCTTTGCAACATGGCAGGAGAAGGGCTGTTAGAGGGAAAACTCTGGGTGTTGATGTCATTTGTATCTGCTTGTTGAGAAACCGACTGTAACAGCACATCTTCATCTGGCTGTTTCACACCTTCAACCTTTCCAAGCTGTGTAAAGCCTGCCTTAGCACTACTTTGGGTAACAGTGACTGAATTCCTGGTCAGTCCAATAGGTTTTGTTTGGTCCTTCAAATTAGGAAAGACTGACTCATCAGTTCTGATACCAGATGAAGAAACTGAAGGGTTACAACTTAGCCAGGGCTGACAGCCCTCAGACAATTCTGAAAAAGTTCTGTTCGCACTTCTTGTTACTCTTTTGGTATTCGTATTTTCTGGAGAATACGCGTGAAAATCATTCTGCAGGCGCTGTGAACCAAACTTGGCATTCTGTGTATGTGCCCACTGCTGGTCGTTTAAATTAGCCATAAACACTTCAAAGCTGGCATCAGGTGAAATAAATGCTTCATCACTGTAGTACTGAGGAATATCAGTGCAAGAAGGACAGCTGTCTATTTTTCCATACAAGTTGCCATGAGAAGTATCTCTATAGTAGGATCTACAGAGATTATTTTCTGATTTGTATAATGGATAGTTTTCCCAGTTATCAAAGGGCAACGGAGAAGTAGCTTTGTCAGGGCAACTAACTCTACTAAAGCAGTTACTGCTTGAAACAGATCTTCTGTAGTGGTGTTTGGAGTGGTAACATGTGTAATTCTTGGTTTCTTGCAAAGAACTAGGATATGTACCATGGTCTGTAAACTCCATTAGTGACTGGGTTCTAAACATTTTTTCTTGGGCTGCTGTTTGTCCAGGAGAGTCTGGTGTGTTGTTCCATACAATGGAAGACAGAGGAATTCGCTTTGGGTTCCGTCGACCAAACCTTGGTACAAAATCATTGTTGCTGTCCCTTGCCAAGGGATGCTGTAAATTCAATGCTGACAGCTGGACAGAAGATACTGATGATGGACACCTCCGAAGGGAACATACAGAGTGACTTCTGCCAGCTGTATCCCTGTTCATACAACTCTTGTGCCTAAATCCACTGTTCTGTGTTATGGAAGGAGGATATAAGCTACCTTCTGAAGACCGTCCAAAAGAAACAGAAGACAGCCGGCTGCCTAGCAGATGAGGATTTTCATCGACTGGATCACTGTATTTGTAATCTTCTTGAAAGGCTGTCTGGTGCCAGTTTATATATGCATTGTGTAATTTCCTTGGTCTGATGAAAAGCTTGTGTTCATCTTTGGCTCTTATTGTTCTCTGTCCATCTGGGAAAAACGTGCTAGGCACATCACTCCAGTCATTTCTGTGTTGCCCCCTACCAGCAGTCTGCCTCTTTGGAGCAGGGAATGCACTACTGTATTGCACATTTGATGCACTGCTTGTGGAAACTGTCCTGTCCAATGGCTCTTGGGCTTGTTCCTGCGCCAGCTGGTCATCCAGATCATTCAGAACTGCACAAGAAAAAAAAAGACACTTGGTTTTGTTTTCTTTAATAATCTTCTGACTACTTATGTTAAAATGTTTCATGTACGACATTAATAAACAGAACTTGTTTTGAAAGGAATCAGCTTCTCAGCATTCAAAACCCTTCCCAAACCACACACACTGTTCATCCACAGGACCTTTCAGTGGTCACCCATTGTTACTACAAGGAAAAAGGCACTGCTCCATGACTGATCTCAAGACTGCTCTTGATGTAAATGTTGTCTTTATGCTATTTAAAAGAAAAGCAAAACAATTTGAAGTCTGAATTCTAACTCGTGAGCCCTGTGTGTGTGTTTGTGTGTACTTTCAAATCTAGTTTGTAAGCAAAAAATACCTGTAAAGAATCCACTAGCCCTGTAAGCAAACACAGACCTTTCTGTGTGTTCACAGAGCACCACTATGATGTAACTGTAAGAAAACACAGAATTCTGCAAACCATCAAACAAGCATATTCAGCAGTCTGGCACATCCACTGTTTGTTTCATTCAGAAAAGAAGTTCTTCACTAAATTGCAGCTTATTATTTACTCTAAAATCAGCACTGAAAGTGGCATTTTCTGGATAAAAAGAGGTAATGAAATAGTTAGAAACCTGTGATTAATTCTAACAGCATAGCTGTATTTTTGTTTATTTATATATATATAGTCTCATGAACTGGAATTAAACGCTACACAACTCAGCTAACCAAGATATTCAGTCATAAGACCAAGTGGCAGCAATGTACTATTTTTATTGGCAAAAAAATGCCTTCAATAATTGTATTCTTTCTGTATTCTGAAAGTAGCACACATAAGATAAAAACATAAATGGATAAGGCTGTTTTGTTACAGCATTTCCTCATCTATTTAAATAAAAAAGCTTGACTGATCAGTCATTTCAGATCTATGCTAACAGTACAGAATCATTAAAAAAGCATTGCTAGGTATGTATAACATCATAAAAAGTGATACAAAGGTACTAAAATTTTTAATTTTTCTGACTTACTCTTCAGCACAGAAGCGAGAAGGCTCCTGAGAGAGTCAGTTCAGTACAAGAAAAAAGGCGAGTTGACTCTGAGTCTTCCATTTGGAGGACATCAGCCAAGCTATGTAGAGTTTTCTCTGTCAGTTGGCAAGCGTGCACAGTTATGACTGACACCCAAAAGTGGTGACAGGCATGTGGGTTTGAGAAGAACCACTGTCCACCATGCAGTGCTCTGCTCTTCCAGCACTGCCAACTCACCCACTGCTTCCGGATCATGCTTTCAATCTGTGATCTCTTGTAATTTTGAGTGGTAGAAAGCAATAGTCATAGAAAGTTTTTTGCATAGATCTAAGAAAGTTTATGGAAGAACATCTCTGTACTCCCACAGGCTGGGTCTGATCTTGCTTCACTTCCCAGAAGTGAGGAAACAGAAAAAAAAACCTAAAACCAAAAAGAACCAGCAACTTTCAGCTGGTGCTATAAGGACTACCAGAAAGCAAACTGAATGCCATAATGCCTCTTGCTTCTGCGGTATGAGGCTTTACAATTCATAAACCAGGCCCAGTTATTCACCATTATCAAAATTATGCATGCAGAAAACTGGGATGAAATTCTTCTCACATAACTGTCTGTCTGCATCTAAAGGGTTGTCCTGGATTCACAGGGATAGAATCACAGAATCAGTTTTCCATTCAGGAGAGCTGCATTTCTAAGACTACAGTACTCCATTTGATGAAAAAGAGTTGATAAGACACTTTGTTTTAGTTTTCAGCTGACACTGGTATGCAGGTTGCCACAGTGATCAAGGTCTTTGGCAGTTTTGAGATTAACTAGGTACAGAAGCGGGTGGGGAGGTAAAGCCAAGGGCTTTCAGGGCACACTCACTATAAATTGGGGAGTTTACTGGAGACACTCTCTCTTTCCTTGATGGTCACCATCCCCAGAGGTTTTGCCTGTTGTTCTGCACCCAAGGCCTCCTAGTCCCCTGCTTTTCTGGAGCTGTTGTGCTCGCAGTGTTTATTTATCTTATCTAATCATTCACTGCTGGGAGTGCATAGCCAGCAACTGCTGTATGAGCTGGGTATAACTTTATGTGACTTATTATTCTTGTTCCTATTATTATTACAGTTTATTATTACTAATATTATTATTAATTTCAATCATTAAACTGTTTTTATCTCAACCCACAAATGTTCCTACCTCTCTCCTCTGATTCTCTCCTCACCCAACCAGGGAGGGCAGGGAGTTGTGTGGTGTTGAGCTGCCTGCCAGGTTAAACCATGACAGGATGCAATGTGGGCTCCTGTCAGAATCAGCAGAGAAATGTATGCTTTTAAGGTGTGATTCTTCTGAACGGCATCAGTATGAGATGAAATGCACTCTAAGAGTGACCAGTGACACATCTTGAAGTCAACATCAGAGCAGACATTCTGCTGTCAGACAAAGCCAGCAAAAAGTAGTCACTATGCGAGAAAGTAATGAGCCATACCTTTACAGCCCATGCTTTTGCAGAAAATTCTCCAAATCCAGCTACCACAGTCACTTCTGGTAACATTAATACCAGAACAAAGTAAGGGCACACACTTACCACTGAAAAGCTCCTTTTCTAGCTGTTCAGTCCATTCCTGTGTACTTTTCATTTCATTTTGGTTTGCATCAAAAGAATTATCACTTGTTTCAGTTGTCATTGAAGAATTACACATTTCAGCCTGTTAAAAATTGTAAGGCAACATGATTTTAGTTCTACATATGGGTTCAAACCATATTTCACATGTCACATCACAAATTGCGTCACAAGTCACAAAGGTCAGTAACGTCTTTGTGGGTCCATTAATTGCTGTATTATTAAAATACACCTGAGGACTGCAAAAATGCATGCATTTTAGAGATTTTTACATACATAACATGGAGATTTGCTCATTTTGTCCTCATCCTGTAGCATGTTTTGGATACATGAGTTACAGTGACTTTATAATAAGTGGCATAGTTTACTTATTTTCTCCATATGCATCCATACTGCATTTTATCTTGTAATTTAGTTTTTCCTAATCACAGCACACATTGCCAGCACATTCTAAAAAACTCACATACTGACCTCCCAACAGAGATTTAATAAGGAAACAGAATCACAGAATCACAGATTAGAAGTTGG